TTCTTTCTATTTCGTAATTTATATTTATAAATAAAATAATAATAGTAAGCAGAGTTAAAATTTTATTTTTATCAAATGAAAAGGGCAAAAACCTAAAAATTCGCCATCATGTACATATATGTCGTTGTTCATCTTCTCTGTTAATTTTGATGTAAACATGTTATGCTATTTTAGTTTGGATTCATTTATTTAGCTTTTATAGTAATGTAAATCTTCATGCATATTTGTTTTAAAAAAATTTAGTAGTAATTTTAAAACTAAACTAATGCTACATTAAAAAGTCTATATATATATATATATATATATATATATATATATTCTCATCTACCTCCTATGTCAGCTTCATTTACAATCAAATAGAATATAAAAATATCAAAGTTCTTCTTCTCATGTAATCTTCTTCTGTTTATTTGGCTTATGATCTCTCTTTTTAGTTTTTACATAACTATAGTTTAAATGCTTTTATAATCTAAATTGAAAAATATTTTCTAAATAAAGTTGAAAACAATATATCATATGTTTCAAATGAAATCTTTTAATTTGATATTTTGAAAAGTTTAACTTGATCATTTTTAAAATTTAAGTTACTTTTAGGTTATGATAAAATATAAGGTGAGTAACAAATGCTCATAATTTTGTATGTGCTAATTTTGTATTACTTTGTTTAGATCTCATTCAGTTCTATATTTTCCAAATATACTTTTCGTTTATTTTTAATGTTTACAATGTACACAAAATATGTTTTATACTAATTTTGCAATCGCGTTCAATTTTGTTTGTGCGTTAATTATTTTGTTTTAAACATAAAAATTAATATTATTTTGTAATACACATAATGAATATAAACATATTATTTTGTTTTAAAATTATTTTCAAAACATATATTAACACTTATACACTACATATAACTTAATATAATTTTTAATTAACATTTCATGTATAACCCACGCATCGCGTGGGCAACTTTCTAGTAGGTATATAATTTGAGATTTGTATGTCTTGACAGTTTTGCTAAGTTGTCATTTTATCTTGTCAAGATATGAAGTGATTGTAAGAAAATAAAGTTAAAGTGAGAGTTTGTTTTTATTATATGTAAGGTCACATTATTATTCTTTATTTAGAAGGCTAGCTCAAGTGTCTAGCATTTTTTGGTCACTTACACGAAAATTATTGAAAACTGGGAAAACAACAACACATAGATCATGGATGTGCTTCTTATACAGTTTCAACTGCATTGGATGAGCCCTTGGTACATAACTCAGAACATGCCTTGGTGCATTGTACAGCTGCTCCATTCACAACTTCATTTGCATCTAAATCACCCACACACAATATTAGAATTAATATGTTTTTCTCTTTTTCTATAAATTTAATAGTAATATTAATAAGTTTTTGCATTACCGGAATTCTGGAGAGTGGTTAAGGCACCACACACAGATGATGCACAACCCAACTTGCAGTATTCGTTAAAAGCATCACCTTAAATACAAAAACATAAAACAGTTTTTGAACACATGCATCAAAATCTTGGTCCAACCTGTAAAAGATATAACATAATGAAAGAACAAAGAAATAAAAATTAAACTAAACTACCAGAGTTTTCGAGAATGTCACGTGGTCCTGGAGGACATGTTGGCCCCTCGACAATTTTGCATCCGCAGAGGCTTGCACAAGTTGGCCTAGGAGTTCCAGGTAAACGGCATACATTGTAACAATTTCTAGCAGTCGTGTTCGGACAACAACTCTTTGCTTCGACTTGTATCTGTGCCATGACAAGACTCACTATGAGCAAACCTAAAATCATAGTTTTGCCTTCCATCTTTCTGTTGATCAGTTGTTTAAATGCAAAATGTATATGTGGGGAGTTATATAAGGTTGTATTGATGAAATGGTACTGATGAAACAAGGCTCGGTTAAATACAAGTTGGTCTGTGATTAGCAACCACACACTTCATATGATATGTTTATCACATTTTCTCTATAGACTCTGTCTGTACATGCGACGTGGACCAAACCTTATCTTGATGGATTGATGAAATCTTCTTGTTCATTTTTACTTTCTTTTGATTAACGCTTTAAATTAATTAGGATAATTAATAGGGGATTCACTATTATTTGCGTTTGAATTTATATTATAAGTGTTATATATGTCTATTAAGTTCGTAGCACTTCTCGTGTAAATATATTGAATTAAGAATTAAAAATTAAGAAGAGTATGATTAGTTTGAAGAGGGAAAGATAAGAACATAGTAGTTTGTTACAACGTGTTTTGTGGTACTTAATTTATTTTTTTAACCAATTCTTAACTCTTGTGGTTTATAAGTTATAGCCAAAACTCTTCTAGTTATTGTCTAGACTGATGGCAAATTAAAATATGATACAAAAATCCAAATAGTTTGTTACCAGCGTGTTTTGTGTTTCCTTTTGTTCTCTTTTGTTTTGTATTGGAGATTTGAATAACATATGTTGGGACCAAATAAATGGTTGTTGCCTAATAATTTGAGTGGTGTGCTAGAAATTTGAAACAAATTTCTGCATGTGATTACCAATCACATGATCACATGATCAAGATCATTGAGATGATCAAAGTGCTAATTACATAAGCTTTAAACTAACCACTTTATTTTCCATGTCACTTTTAGTTTGTATTGTATGGAACAATATATTTGTATTACCAAAAAAATAAGTTTATATTTTGACTTTCGTTTACGACAAGAGCTTACATGTCAATGTGTTCGAAACTATGTTAGAGCTTTTATCATATCATAATATGTCAAAGAATATTTCATTGTTAGTAAATCTCACGGAAATTCCGTCTTGGGAGTTAACAATTTCAAATCTTATCACTTTTACTGATGTTTTATACGTTCATGATCTCAGTTGCTCTATAGAAAAACATAGCCGTTTCTGACAACCATATCCGACGATAAACATGGTTGGCTTTTATATGGTTTAGAGATGTTCGATGAAATGCTTGAATGAATGTTAATTGAGCATTGTAATTCTAACCTGCGAGAGTTAATTTTAGAATGTCTTGTGAACCAAATAAACTTGTTTGATGAAGAGAATTTGACTAGAAAATTATAAATGAGAGTTTAGTAATTAAATAGTTGAATTTAATGACTAATGTCTTAACAGAGAATTAATCTGAATTTATGTTCATGTTTAAGAACATGTCGTCTTGCCTGAATTTTTGCCTTCCTTTATTGTTTTTATTTGTTAGTCATTGATTCGTTGAAATACCCTGCTACCCAATGTTTTAATTTATAAGTTCAATTATCTGTTTACTTTACATTTTTATTTTCAAGTTCAAAAACAATAATTTCACAGTTCCCTTGTTGTCAAAATCTATTGGGTTATTAGTTATTACTCTAGTAATCATGATGACAAAATGATATACTATAAAGTTTTTCATTACTTCAACCTATCGATTGCATTCTTAATGGTTCATTCAAGGTGTCGTATGCTTATATATATCTTTAATTCGAGATTTGTAAGTCTTGACAGTTTTGCTAAGTTGGCATTTGATGTTTTTAAGATATGAAGTGATTGTTAGAAAATTAAGCTAAAGCGAGAGTTTGTTTTAATTATAGTCGATAAAGACATAATTATTATTCTTTATATTAAACAATAGCAAGTAGAAGGGGTACACAATCTAGGGATCAATGACTTTTTTCTATGTCACATAGAAAACTTGGAAATAGTAGAAGCTTACTCAAGATTCTAGCATTTTTTTGTCATATACAACGACAATTATTGAAAACATAGATCGTGGATATATGCTTCTTAAGCAGTTTCAATTGCATTGGATGAGCCCTTGGTACAGAACTCAGAACATGCCTTGGTGCATTGTACAGCTGCTCCATTCACAATTTCACTTGCATCTAATTCATCGAAACAATATTTTTAGTTAATACGTTTTTCTCCTTTTCTAAAAATCTAATCATAATATTGATAATTAATAATGAGTTTTTGTGTTACCGGAGTTCTGGAGAGTGGTTAAGGCACCACACACAGAGGATGCACAACCTAATTTGCAGTATTCATTGACAGCATCACCTTAAATAAAAAATAATAAAACAATTCTTAGAAGTTGCATCAAAATCTTGGTCCAACTTGTAAAACATATAACATAATGAAATAACAAAGAAATAAAAGATGCAATTAAATTACCAGAGTTTTCGAGAATGTCATGTGGATATCCTGGAGGACATTTTCCCGATACAAATTTGCATCCACAGATTTGTGTACAGATGGAGGGTGGATTTAGGACTAAAAATATATATGGGGCACTGGTTAAATTTAAAAGTTATATGGGGCACTAATTAAATTTAACAAGAAATTTGCCTACCTGCTTCAGCAATAATGCATAAATTGTAGCAGCTTCTAGCACTCGTGTTAGGGCAACAACTCTTTCCTTCAACTTGAATCTGTGCCATGACAAGACTCACTATGAGCACACTTAAAATCACAGTTTTGCCTTCCATCTTTCGATTGATCAGTTGTTTGAATGCAAAATGTATATGTGGGGAGTTATAAGCTTAAATACTAGTTGGTCTATGATTAGCAACCACAGAATTCATATGATACGTTTATCACATTTTCTCTATAGACTCTGTCTGTACATGCGACGTGGACCAAACCTTATCTTGATGGATTGATGAAATCTTCTTGTTCATTTTTACTTTCTTTTGATTAACGCTTTAAATTAATTAGGATACTTAATAGGGATTCACTATTATTTTCGTTTGAATTTATATTATAAGTGTTATATATGTCTATTAAGTTTGTAGCACTTCTCGTGGAAATATTTTGAATTAAGAATTAAGAAAATGTATGAGTAGTTTGTTACAACGTGTGTTTGTGTTTCTTAATTTATTTTTTAACCAACTCTATTGACTCTTGTGGTTATAAGTTAATAATCAAATCTCTTCTAGTTACTGTCTAGCTGATGGCACAAAAATCCAAATAGTTTGTTACAAACGTGTTTTGTGTTTCTTTTTGTTTTTTTTTTTTTTGCATGAATGTGAAAATATATTCAAAACAAAAAAGTGTCCTTTTTACAATAAATGCATCCTTAAATCAAAAACTTAATTTAAAAAACATTAAAAGTTTTGAAATTTTTGGAGGGGATTAGCTACCCGCTACCCAAAGCTGAAGTCCATCACCAAACTTTGTTGTGGTTGCTTGCATTGAAAGGAGTTTATTACGTATCAAACGGTCTAAGAAACGGGTGAGCTGATCAGTGGTGCTTGGTGTGTCGCCATGTCGACGTCTGTTGCGCTCCATCCAAAGTGTGTGGACCGTTGCTTGGAAGACAAGACGCAAGAGGTAGCGGGTAGTACCTTGAAAACAAGAACCCGAGAGCAGATGGATGACTTGTGTATATGAAATAGAATAGTGCCGCATCAACAATTTGTGAGTTAGAGCATGCTATATCCGTGAAGAGTAGGGGCAACCAAAGAATAGATGCGGAAGTGTCTCCAAAGGTTTCCGACAGAGCACACAAGCAGGGTTAACACCTCTGTTCCAAGCCTGCATGCGATCCCCGGTGGTGAGCCTATTGCGAGCTGTTAACCAAAGGATGAAAGAACATTTCGGTATAGAGTTGGAGAACCAAATGCCCCTGTACCAACTCACTTGTAAACCCACACGCCGAATCTGCTGCCAGGTCTCAGCAGTGGAGAACCAAGGCACATACTTGTTATCCGAAGCTCGCCATAAAGCATTGTCTTGACAATAAACTTGGCCACGATCCCGGAGCATTGCGACTTCCAGCTCAATCTGATTCAACAAGGCGGTTCGGTGAGAGCGCCGAGTATGAGTTTGTAAAACCATAGCAACTGTGGCGTTGGAAGGAATACCGAGAGCAATAAATCCTCTATCCCCAAGCAAATCATGGAAACAGCCCAGAGAAGACCAGTGATCATACCAGAAAGAAGTGTGAGCACCATCTCCAACTACCATTTTGTGAAACGCTTTAGCATGCGTTCTATAATTGAGCAACTTTTTCCACATCCAAGATCCCCTTGTTGTGGTCTCACTTTCCGACCAAAAAGAAGAAGACCGCAGCAGCTCTTTTTGTTTTGTATTGGAGATTTAAATAATATACGTTGGAACCAAATAAATGCTTGTTGCCTAATAATTTGAGTGGTGTGCTAACAATTCTAAACAAATTTCTGCATGTGATTATCAATAACATGAAGATCATTGAGATGATGAAAGTGCTAATTACATAAGCTTTAAACTAACTGCTTGACAATTTTATGCTTATTTTATTTTCCTTCTCACATTTAGTTTGTATTGTATTGGAACAGTATCATTACCAAGAAAAAAAGTTCAAAGATTGACATAGTATCAAAAATCTCTAAGCAAAGTGACTATTCTGAAGATAATGATCGAGGAAAATATAGTCAAGAACGAGCTAAATTCGAAGATGACTGATAACACACTTTATAGTGCCAAAAAAAAAACATCAAAATTGAAGGTAGATTATAATGAATTTGTGTTTTTAGCCTCATAAATTGTTGTCTATGTAGCATTATAAAAACAACTAAAGTAATTATGTACGCATTGCTTTATATGATCTTACAAAAACTAATCAAGCTTAGGGAAAACAATAGCTAACGCTTCGACAAAACAAACAATTAGGCTCAGTAATTGAAACGAACTCACAAATATATTATCTCCTTTAATACAAAACAATAAATCTGATCCACACAAAACCGTAAGCTATATGACCAACATCGAAAGCATCATTTTTGAAATTTTACATGTTTTTTCAGTCACGTCTTTTAAATTTAGTTTTATGTGATATTAATCAAATAGTTTGGTAAAATGGTTGATACTATGTAATATAGCTAAGCAAAAAGCAACTTTATTGGTTGAACGAAAAATATCACGACACAATTACATATTATTGAAAAGATAGGTAATAGAAGGCATATGCAATCTAAGGATCGATAACCTTCTATATTTTTGTCACATACACTGACAATTATTGATGAAAACATGAAAAAACAACACTCCATAGATGATGTACTTCGTATCTTTGTGAATAAGGTTGTCTAGGCGGTTCCAACTGCATTCATCGAACCCTTGGTGCAGACTTTAGAACACGCCAAGGCGCAGTTTCCAGCAGCTTCATTCACGATTTCACTTGCATCTAGTTATCGAAACAAAATTTGAAATGTATCATATATATGTTCTCTTGTTTATTATTTTTAAAACAAATGATAGTAATGATAAAAGAGTTTCGAGAGTTGTTTTACCAGAGTTCTGGAGAGTGGATAAAGCACCGCACACAGAGGATACACATCCAACCTTGCAGTATTCACTAACAACATCACCTTGAGACAAAACACAAAAGAAACAATTAAATCTTGATTTATCTTTTAAGACAATAAGCTAGACACACAACGTACATACTAAAGCATAATATTGTTTTTTTTTTACCTGTGTTTTCAAGATTCTCGTTAGGATATCCGTTAGGACATGACCCATCAACGATTTTGCAGCCACTGAGGCCAGCACATACTGACATGGGTGCTCCGGGAAGGCGGCAAGTATTATTAAACAGACAGAGAATGAATGTGTTCTGCGTATTTCATTGAGAGGCCATTACATACTTATATATTACAAGGACTTGATGACCTAGTCTAAAGAGTAAAGATATGCAGATAATTTACATTGCAGAATAGGTAACAAATAAGTCTATGTACGATAATTGTGGGATATGATTTACTATGATAAATAATATCCCAATACCCCCCCTCAAACTGGAGCATGGAGATTCAAAATGCCCAGTTTGGAGCAAAAATCTTCAAAGCTATGACGACCAAGTGGCTTTGTGAAAATATCCGCTAGTTGAGAGTTGCTTTGAACATGAAGTAGATGAAGATTACCAGATTTGATCTCATCACGTACAAAGTGACAGTCATTCTCGATATGCTTCGTACGTTCATGAAAGACCGGGTTCGTGGCAATGTGAATTGCAGACTTGCTATCACAATAGAGACGCATTGGTTGAGAGTGAGTTTCACCAAGATCAGACAGAACTCTCTTTAGCCAAATGAGTTCCTTTGTGATAAAAGCCATAGCACGATATTCAGCTTCAGCAGAGGACATACTAACCGTTTTCTGTTTCTTCGTCTTCCATGATATTGGTGATGTGCCCACTTGAACAAAATAACCAGAAACTGACCTTCTTGTAAGGGGACAAGTCGAATAATCAGAGTCACACCAGCCTGTAATCTGAAAATCTCTCTTAGCGCTCAACAAAATACCTTGGCCTGGATTTCCCTTTATGTAGCGAACAACACGAAGCGCAGCTTCCCAGTGATCCTCGCGTGGTTCTTTCATAAATTGAGCGAGAAACTGAACACTGAAAGTGAGATCCGGCCGTGTAGCAGCTAAGTATAGGAGACGACCTAGCAGACGACGATACTGCTCCGGTTCGGGTAAGAGAGAAGAAGTAGACAACGCAAGCTTGTTGTGCTGTTCTAGAGGAAAGGCGTCTGGTTTGCAACCTAGCAATCCAGCATCAGCAACTATTTCAAGAGCATATTTCCGCTGACTTAAATAGAAACCTTGTGAACTTCTCGAGACTTCGATGCCCAAAAAATACTTAAGAGCGCCTAAATCTTTCATTTTAAAACACGACGCCAAATAGCTTTTGAAACCAGAAAGCGCCTCAGTCGAGTTACTAGACAAAATCATATCGTCAACATAGATCAATATGTTAATCCGTATCCCTCCTTTGTCAAAAACAAAGAGGGAGTAATCCGAAAGAGACTGAAGAAAGCCATAGTCACGAAGAGCAGTTGTCAACTTTTCAAACCAACAACGAGGTGCTTGTTTAAGACCATAGAGAGACTTCCGAAGTCGACAAACCAGCTTTTCACCATTAGTAAAATAACCTGGGGGAGGCTTCATGTAGACCTCCTCAGAGAGATCCCCGTGTAGGAACGCATTGTGGACATCCATCTGATGGACTGGCCAAGCGTTACCCGCAGCAACTTCAAGAAACATACGCACAGTTTGCATCCGAGCTACCGGTGCAAACGTGTCTCCATAATCAACTCCTTCGATTTGTTTATTACCAAGAGCTACCAAACGCGCTTTGTAGCGTTCAACAGTCCCATCTGCATTGTGTTTTACTTTGTAAACCCATTTCGATCCTATTGCTTTCTTGCCAGGAGGGAGATCCTCAAGCGTCCATGTCTGATTTTCCTCCAAAGCACGAACCTCAGAATCCATAGCAGTTGTCCAAACTTTGCTCTTAACTGCTTGATTATATGTCTTTGGCTCAAAGACATCCGTAATGGCCACCAAATAGGCACGATGAGTGGATGAAAAACGTGCACAACTCACATAATTTTGAATTGGATACAAAGATTTTGACGTACCCAACATCCTTATCTGAGCTGTATTAGTTTGATAGTCACGGAATTTGATTGGTGGCTGTCGAGGTCGATTACCACGGCGAAGAGGAACCGCCTCTGGTAGTTGGTCGTTCTCGTCCTCAGCATCTGACGA